CATGAGCCACTGCACCTGGCCAACTGCATTCTTACTTAAAAATGTATTCCAAAGTCTAATATAAATCATTTTTGGAATAAAATGAATTGCCTTATTTTATTTAGCCTTGGAAGAATTAAAAATAGTAGCTAACTTAAAGCCTCTGTTTAACGTTTCTCTTAATGTTTTAGGTTGATGGTGTGAATATTCAGGGAATGGCCAACCAGGATGTTGTTGAAATATTACGAAAGGCAGGGCAGGTGGTACGCCTAACCCTTGTTCGAAGGAAGACACCTTCATCTGCTTTTCCACTTGAACAGCCTTCAGACAGAGGTAATCAATTCCACCACCCCCTTTACTCCCATGTAGTGTGGGTTTAGAAGAATAGCTAAACTATGGAAGTTACTCTGTGAGTCTGAGTAGGAAAAAATTGCCCACCTTGTATAATGCAGTGATAGAGAAATGATCAGCTCATTTGTGCATTGAAGAAGTGTTTTCTCTTTGCATATTATAATATGCCCATCCTAATGTTAGAATGTGAACCCTGGCATGCACTAAGCTCAGAGAACTCTAAATGAAGATAGAAATCATTTTTCCAAAAATCTTCCAAATTTTGCCAATTATATTTGAATAATAAAGCTTTGGTACTTTTTGTTCCAGAGGCTCTCATTTGTCTAATGCTTTGACATTTTGCAAACTTCAAGTTTCCTATTACTTTTAACAATATATTTTATTCTAATATGTCTCTTGATTTACTGTGAGAGAAAATAAAACATGGATTTCTATCAAAAACATTTTTGTTTGTAAAATAATGTTCAGTTAATTTGGTTATAAGAGTAGTAAATCTTCATTATAGAACAAATATATAATTGTATGCATGTCAGTATTTTTTCTTTGGAGACAGGGTCTCTCTCTGTTGCCCAGGCTAGAGTGTAGTGTTGTCATCATAGCTCACAGCAACCTCAAATTCCTGGGCTCAAGTGATCCTCCTGCTTCAGCCTCCCAAGTACCTGGAACTACAAGAGAGCACCACCATACTCAGCTAATTTTTAAATTTTTTGTAGAAAGGAGGTCTTGCTGTTGTTGTTCAGGCTTGTCTTAAACTCCTGGCTTCAAGTGATACTCCCACCTGAGCCTCCCAGCTGGCATGAGCCACCGAACCTGACCATCAACTATGAATTATCAACTTACAAAAGTACAGATCAACAAAAGTTGACAATCATGGGAACACATATTCAATTAAAAATGAGCAACTAG